TTAAGGAACCAACTGCATTACCACCTGAGAGAGCAGTGGATCACCATATTCAGTTGAAGCCTGGTGCTGAACCTTTTAAGATGAAGCCATACAGATACCCCCATGTACATAAAACTGAAATTGAAAATCAGGTAGAGGATTTGTTAAAATAATGAATAGCCAGGGAGAGTGACAGTCCTTATGCTTCTCCTATGTGTTGACTAAGAAGAAAGATGGATCTTGGAGGTTGTGCACAGATTATAGGCATATTAATGCCTTAACAATCAAAACAGGTATCCAATACCAGTTATTGAGGAATTGCTAGATGAATTGATTGGTACCAGGTTCTTTTCCAAGGTAGATCTCAGGGCTGGATATCATCAAATAAGGGTGTATAAAGAAGATGTACCAAAAAACGGCTTTCCAAACTCATCATGGTCACTTTGAGTTTTTGGTTATGCCATTTGGGTTAACCAATGCACCTGCAACTTTTCAGAGTTTAATGAACCAGGTTTTTAAATCTTATCTCAGGAAATTTGTGCTTGTTTTCTTTGATGACATCCTGATTTATAGTGCCACCTTAGAAGAGCATGTGGTTCATTTAAGTTTGGTGATGAAATTGTTGGTGGATCACCAGTTATATGCCAAAATGTCTAAATGTTCTTTTGCTCAAACATCCATGGAATATCTTGGTCATATCATTTCTGACAAAGGGGTTCACATAGACCCTGCAAAGGTACAAGCCATTACTGATTGGCCAATTCCTGTGACAATGAAACAGTTGAGAGGATTCTTGGGTTTAGTTGGATATTGTAGAAGGTTTGTGGAGGGTTTTGGAGTGATTAGTAAGCCTTTAACTCATCTTTTGAGGAAAGGAGTTTTCCAATTGACTGACTTAGCTACTGAATCTTTCCTTCAACTTAAAACATCTTTGACAACTGCTCCAGTACTTAAACTACCTAATTTTACTCAGAGTTTTGTGGTTGAAATAGATGCTAGTGGAGAAGGGATAGGAGCAGTATTAATGCAAAACAGTCAACTAATTGCCTTTTTGAGTAAAGCTTTCCGTGATAAGAATAAAGCCCTTTCAACTTATGAAAAAGAGCTTTTGGATTTGGTGATGAGAGTAACAAAATGGAGGCATTATTTGGTTGGTAATCATTTCATTATAAGAACTGACCATCATTCTCTGAAATATTTGATAGAACAGAAGCTTAACACCCCTTTGCAGCATAAGTGGATGATCAAATTGTTGGGCTTTGATTATGAAATTCAGTATAAAAAGGGGAGGGAGAATGTGGTGGCTGATGCTCTCTCCAGGAAATCTATGTTAGAAGAGGACCAGGTTAATGCAATCACAACTGTTCAACCATTATGGCTTTAGCAGTTGGCTAAAAGTTATGAAGGTGATCCTATTGCTCAGTAATTGATTGTGAATGCCACTCTAGAGACTGTCACCCATCCAAAATTGCAATATTTGGGTGGTGTTTTAAAGGAAGAGGGGAGGCTGTATGTGGGATCAGAAGGGGGTATCAGGCAGAATTTATTGTCAGTGTTCCATGCATCATCTTTGGGAGGGCATTCTGGACAAAAGGCCACATATCACAGTTGAGAAGTGTGTTTGTTTGGAGAAACATGAAGCATGATGTGGAAACTTTTGTGAAAAGTTGTGTGGTCTTTCAGACTTGTAAGAGTGAGCATGTGCATTACCCACGCAAGTTGCAACCGCTTTTAATTTCTCAGCAAGCATGAAAGGGGATTGCTATGGATTTCATTGATAAATTGCCAGTTTCAATTGAAGGTTATGATTGCATTTTGGTGGTGGTTGACAGATTCACTAAGTATGGTGATTTCTTACCCCTTAAGCGTCCTTTTACTGCCCAGGATGTGGCTGCATTGTTCTTTAAGGAAATTTTCAGGTTGCATGGGGTTCCTGAAAATATTGTTACCGACAGGGATAAGATTTTCACCAGTTTGTTTTCGAAAGCATTGTTTCAAACTCTGGGTGTGAATCTTTGTATCACTACAACCTATCATCCACAAACAGATGGGCAGACTGAAAGATTGAATCAATTCTTAGAGAGCTATTTGAGGTGTTTCTGTAGTACTTCTCCTTCAAGTTGGTCTAAATGGTTGGCTATGGCAAAGTGGAGGTATAATACTGCTTACCAGTCTAGTGCTAAAATGACACCTTTCCAAGCTTTATATGGATATCAATCAGTGGGAATTCCTTTGGGGTCATGCCATGATTTGGTTATCCCGGCTGTAGCTGACATGATCCAACAAAGACAAACTGTTTTGCAGCAATTAAAAGATAATCTGATTAAGGCTCAGCAAAGAATCAAACATTTTGCTGACAAACTAAGGACTGAAAGAGTTTTCTAGGTTGGTGATTATGTGTTACTCAGACTTCAACCTTACAGGCAACAAACAGTGGTCAAGAAGAGCTGTTTAAAGTTGATGTATAGATATTTTGGACCATACAAGGTGTTGGAGAAGATCGGTTCTGTGGCCTACAAATTGGAGTTGCCAGTTGGATCTAAGGTTCATCATGTATTCCATGTCTCTTTATTGAAGGAGTACATTGGACCAACACCTTCCCATATTTCAGATTTGCCTGACTTAGAAAATGAGGATGACTGTGCTTTAATTCCTGAAAAGGTTTTGCAAAGGAGGTTTGTGATCAGAGGGGCTGAGGAGGTGGCTCAGTGATTGATTAAATGGAGGGGATTGGAAATGGAAGATGCTTCATGGGAGGATTGCAATTTCATTAAAGGTCAGTTTCCGGATTTTAAAACTTGAGGTCAAGTTTGGTTTGAGAAGGAGGAAATGTTAGGGACGCGCCAATTCGGAAGTCGGTGGAAAATTCAAATAATTGGGAGGGTAGCCGCTGCGACGTCGTTCCTGCAAGATTACAATGAGTGAGCTCATGCATTCCAGCTGAGGAAGCTTCCAGCAGATCCGACGGAATTCTTTTTCATTTTTCAGAATAAATACATGAAATTGTAATAGAGAAGGCAGGTAAGATTTGATAACTAAATTCTGTTAAGAATTTCTCTTTCCCTAAAACTCTCCCTTCCCTTACAAACTTTTCCCTCTCCTTTGATAATTCTTCTCTCTCCCGGAAACTCCAATTTCGCCGCCTCCTTTCGCCGGAATCGTTTATCATTTCAGTATTAAATAACTCATTCTATGACAAAATCCTAGATGGGTATGTCCATGCTTAATAGGTTGTCGCTGTTTTGGTTAGTAAAAAGGGTTGGAATCAGCGACTTTACTCCTGATTGAGTAAAATGAATTGATGACTTGATGTTAAAGAGCTTGTTTTAACCAAAGTGGTTGTGGTGGAGTGGGAGGGATTCCTTCACCTTTAACCATAGGTCGAGAGTTCGAACCTCGCTATGGGCATGGAGCAACCTTAAATACTTTGGCCAACATTCCCATCTTTAGTCACTATTACCGACAGTGGACACCTTGTAAATATATATATATATGGTGGACACCCTGCAAATATCTATATATATATAAAGATTGCTTGTTTTTATTTATTTATTTACTTTTTTTTCGCCCTACACAATATGCAAAAAAATAAAAAAGATCGCTTGTTTTTATTTATTTATTTACGATTTTTTTCTGACTTTTGAGGTTTACTGTGAATTGCTTTCAACGACGATTATGATGAGCTTGCTCGTTTGATTTCCAGGAGAATCTAGCTTTGCTGTATATTTATAACTTTTCCATTAGTATAATCTATAGTTCGAATTCAAGATGGTTATTAATGATTATGGGACTCACAAATCCCATAGCAGTTGTCCTTCTCTCTAAAATTCTAGCGAGAGAATGTCCTACCTCTCTCTTTAAGGAGTAAGGTCTAGTTTGACAACTTCATCAAATACTCACTGGATTTTATTTTTTTCAACCGTCCCAAACATTATAAACTCACTCGCAAAACCATTTCCTACCAGCCCTTGGTTTTGGAAATCCACTTTCTTAATTTTGGTTTAAACTTTTGGTTCACATTTCTTCAATCTGGTTGTTTGCCATTTGGACGCCATGCATATCAATGTCAAATCAGTTTATCTTATTTTTAATTTTCACAGTGTCAGGAGGGATGTGGTAATGCTTGATATCTCTACCTAATTATTTAACAGACCGGTTTCTTCAACATTCCTCATGCAAATCTCGAGCCACACAATAATGTTTCAACTTCCGAGTTACTTCTTAGTTCCTAGATCTAGTGCAGTAAAGGCCTTTGCCTTTTCATCTGCTTTTCTGTCCTTTTCCATTAGTTTACTTTTGTCAAAGCAAAATCCTTCCTTTTTCTTCGTCGCTTCTCTTTCTCTGTTTGGCTTCTTCTCCATAAATCCTACAAAATACAAAACATTCCTTATTCCTACTGTCATCTTTTTGCTACTTGCTGATAGATCAAATTCTATTTTAGCTATTTCTTCATTAATTCCTATTTATAAGGTTCACTCTTGTCTGTTTTGACTGGAGCAATGAGTTACAGATATGCATTAGATGAAAATTCAGTCACAGCCATGTCCATTCAAGGCTCTGACTTTTCTGAGGAAGAACATGATTACTATCCTGGCATTGAACTAGATCCGCATCTTATACCTAAACCCTTTTTGAGATCTAGCAATATGATGCTTACGGATTATCATACTCAACTGTCAATGGACAATCTTAAATTGTCGTTGCTGGGCTACTTGGTTGATGATAAAGAGGTCACAGATCAAGTCTTACGGATGTACATGACAAAGAATTGGCCTGTATACACCAGAGTCCTTCACTATGATAGGAAGTTTTTTATCATCAAATTTGCTTGCAGATCTGATATGCTTGCAATTTTGGACAACGGGCCTTATGCTGTTCATGGAGGCCTACTGATTCTGCGCCGTTGTTATGACCATGAAGATTTGCAATTGGACAGTATCCGGATTGAGAAATTAAGCATATGGGTGCGCATGCATGGAGTTCCAATCACATCAATGAACTACAGAGCTCTGTATGACTTGGCCAGTCATGTTGGTGAGGTTGCACGTCTCAAACAAGATTGCGTTTCTCTTAGAAAATGTACTTATTTTGTGCTAAGGTATGGATCAAACCGGATGATCCTCTCACTCCCCTTTTTCATTTCACTAATAGGAATGGCAAAATGGCCAAAATACGGTCTAAATATGAGCACATGCGTAAGTATTGTTAGAGATGTGGCCGACTTGGTCATCCATTGCAGAGATGTTACATGATGGAGGAACAACAGCTGGAAGCATTTTTAGATGCTTTCTTTACTGCCAAGGCTGCAAAGTTCAACTCACCAATGCTTATTGATGTATCCAAACCGCTATACAATGGATCACTTAGGGCTCATGCACATAAGAAAAAGTGATCTACTCTGCTCCCAGATTACAAGGTGAAGGAAATGGAGTATTATTATGCTACTATCCCAGATCAGTACGTGGAGGATGGATTCACAATCACTGAAGTAGAAGAAGATGACCCGGTTCCATGGTCTCCACATAATGATGATGATGATGGCAATGATCCTGATGATGAGAGTAAAGATCAGGATGATTCTGGTGGAGATGAGGGAGATGATGATGAGCCAACAGCAGATCCAGGAATGGACGAGGATCATCACTTGGCTGATTTTAATGGGGACAATTTTGTTGACGATGAAAGCCCACCAATTCCAATGTCACGTTAATACAATTTCCACATTGGTGTTGCATATGATCCATCAAGGAGTGCAGCCCCTGCTGCTTCTGATGCTTATATAAATGAGGGATCCAACAGTCCAGGTGACAATTTTTATTCGCTTTCCTCTTATTTCTCTGATGAAAGTCAGTTTTCATATGCCTGGTTCGTTTTATGAGATCCCGGATGTCCCTCCATCGGAGGATATGTTAGAGGACCCTTATTATATTCCTGATCTATTTGTACCAAATGTATCTGATTACCCACCCCATCATAACGTCTCTCCAGTTTCTGTATTTAACGGACTGTCTGACAGTACTGATGATAGTGATAGTGATGGTCTCATATCTGGCATGCCTGCCAAGGTAAGGACTAAGTCTAGTTCTCCAGATAATTTTTGTTCTGATTCCTCTGATGGATCGGATTGCTCCAAAAAATCTTCAATCTCTGTTTACAAAAATGGCCGTGGTGTTTTCAAGAAGCGTGGTATTCGTAGACGCTTTCCTGCAGCCTCAGCAGTTTCAGCTCCGCAACAATGCCAGGATCATTTTGCTCAAACTGACAGTGCTGATGAGCATTTCTGCATGAAGGCAAGAAGAGCAGTTTCAGAAGCAGATCTGCCAGTCTCTTACCAGCATTCTGAAAGAAATCCTAGTGTTAATCAACATCCTGCAATGAAATCAACTAGTAGAAGGAAGGGGGGAACAGGACGCACATCTACTGGTTAGAGAATGAAGGTGGCGGATGAGGATTTCGATAACAGTTCTGATTCTGAAGAGACTGATGCATTATCAGGTAGTAGGAAACGTGGATAGGAATCATCCCAGGAGGAACAAGGGAGGCCAGGAAAGAAGAGGGCTAATGGTGAGACACAGAAGGAAGTGGCCAGCCTCTTTCAAGCTTTGGAAGTTGCATGGGAGCTGTCTATTGCTGATACAAGTGACAAACTGAATGGTTTTGTGGGGGTTGAACCAGATCAACCACCTCCAGCTTCATGAATATACTATCCTGGAACTGTAGAGGTCTTAACAACACCTCTACTCAGCATAATGTAGGTAGATTATATAAGCATTATAGGCCTAAGATTTTATTTCTTATGGAAACTAAAGCCACTGTTGATAGTTTGGAGGTTTGGCAGCAGACCACTCCTTTCCAAAACTCTTTTGTTGTGCTTGATGATGTAAAGCTTAGTATTTTGATGCACTCTAATAATGTAATAGTAGCTAGGGTAACGGAACCCTCAGGGACAGTTTGGCTGGCTGTTTTTTTGTATGGTCTACTTTCTCGCCAAGGTAGACCTGAATTCTGGTTGCAGCTTAATGCCAATTTAAGTCCTTTTTGTTATCCTACTGTCATATTAGGTGACTTTAATCAGGTACTATCCCAAGAGGATAAAAGTGGAGGTAGACCAGTCCTTGATCAAGATACTAGACCAATACATCAGTTCCTTTATCAAAATGATTTGGAAGAACTGAAACATATTGGCTGCTGGTATACATGGTCCAATAAAGGACAACAAGATAATGCCTCTTTGAACGCTTGGATAGGGCGTTTGTGAACAAGCAATGGCTCAGCTACTTCCCCAAAGCTCTGATAAGGAATTTGCCCATTATGATGTCTGATCATGCACCCATTTTAATCCAGCTAAAGGAAAAGAGTACCAAGACCAGAGGTAAACCGAAATTTGAACAATTCTGGACAAAGCGTTCCCATGCTAAGGATCTCATCCAATAGTCCGGGCATACTCAGAATTTGCACATCGATACTAAACAGGAACAACTTTTCATTTAAGCTGAAATCCAGTCTTATTAGTCTGCATAACTGGAGTAAAGCATCTTTTGGAAATTTAGAGAAACTGGTTGCTAAGCTTACTTCCGAGTTGTCTGAGTTGCAAATAAAGTGGGAATCCAACACCTCTGATGATGTGCTTACACAACAATTAATGAAAAGAGTAAAGAACTTGATGAAGCTCTCCAATTTCAGCATGAATATTGGCATCAGAGATCTAAACTCATATGGCTAATTCAGGGGGACAGAAACTCTAAATTTTTTCAGAAATGGGCTACAAGACGAAAAGGGAATAACTGGATCACAGAGATCAAATCACCGGAAGGAAACTGGCTACATGAACATGACCAAATTGCTGATGTATTGCAGAAACATTTTGCAGATATATATATGGTGTCATGGAGACCAGCTCGTCTAACCTGAATTCCTCCCCTCCCTTCACACAGTTTTTAAACAATGTGGATGAGTGCTTAACACAAGAACAGATGGTTGATCTAGGAAAACCTTTTACGTCCATGGAAGTATGGGAGGCACTTAAGAATATGTCTCCCTAGAAGTCACCAGGTCCAGATGGCATGCCAGCAGGTTTCTATAAGTCATACAAGCATATCATCGGCTCTAACCTGGAATCTACAATCCTGGAAGCTATACAGCAACAGCAATTCCCTCTGGGATGGAATCAAACGAGTATCGTCTTGATACCAAAGACGAATACTCCATCAGTCCCTAGTGACTTTAAACCAATCAGTTTATGCAATATTAAATAAAAAATTATCACCAAGATGATTGCAAATAGGCTGAAAACAGTAATTCCTAACCTCATTGATGATCATCAAAATGGCTTTGTTCCTGGAAGGAACATCAGTGAAAACATATTATTGGCACATGAGGTAATTGAACACATCAGGAAGAAAGATGGTGATCTTGGATTAGTTGCCAACAAGCTGGACACGAGTAAGGCATATGACAGAATGTCTTGGCGGTTTCTTCAAGCTGTTCTGTTCAAAGCGGGTTTCCCAGAACCATTGCTCAACCTCATCATATTCTGTATAACTACAGTATCATATTCCATCCAACTCAATGGCGAAGGATTGCAATACTTTGTTCCAACAAAAGGTTTGAGGCAGGGTTGTCCGCTCTCTCCATATCTTTTCAACTTATGTCAATAGGTTCTTTCTTCTGCCATTCGATCTGAACTTACAATGTTTCCGGGCCTTGGTGTCAAGATTAGTTGAAATAGTCCTCGATTAAGTCATTTAATGTATGCAGATGACAGTTTGTTTTTTATAGAATGTACAGAATCATCTATTCAGGCACTGACAGGGATTATTGAGGACTATGCAGCATTTTCTGGTCAGAGAATAAATCATCAGAAGTCATCCATACTGCTCAGCGATAATACTTCACAGCATCTCAAAGAGATCATACATTCCTGATGGAGTGTCAAGCCACACAAATAAATTAACCTATTTCAAACTACGTAGTATAGATAAGTAAGGTCGTCTTCTCAGGGAACGATGGATTGTTTCCTTCAAATTAATATAAATGGGAAGATTTTTGGATTGTTTTTCTAAACTATGATAATCAAAAATTGTTTTTCTAAACTATGATAATAAAATTCAAATAACAAAAAGTAAATAAAAGAAAATAAATTCAAGTAACAAACTACTGATTCAAGGGAAAGATAACTCAATTATTTCATTGATCATAGGTAAAAAAAAGGCATTCTTACATTCAAGTATTCAACCCCCAAATTTATTAGGATAGCCATAATAAATTCAGACTTCTCTAAAACATTGACCAAACCCAGCATTTAATCAAATCTTACTATGACAGACTGGGCACGATAGCGTTCCATGTCTAGCCACAACAACAATACACACGAGAGCTAGTTGAACCAAAACCAATTAACAGAGATAGCTACAATTAATTAATTTTGTCTTGTTGATTCCACATTTAAACTAACATGCATATTCAATGTCTCACCAATACACATGCTTTGCTTAATTGCTACTCAGTACCGCCGATTCGTGTCTACTACGTAACATTCAACTAGTAGATAGCACTAGAAAATAAATAACAAATCAAGTTGTCAATTTGAATAATATCTACTTTCATGAAATAAAACCAAGAATCAACAAATACAAGAGTTAAACGTAAGAAAAATAAATTAAAGCATAACCTCACAATGAAACAACTGAATTAATCCCTTGAATTAGTAATAAAAATCCTTAGCCACTCATAGATGGAAACATGGCGGCTTTATTCTCCATGGAAAATAATGAAAGTTCGGAAAAACGAAAAGGTGGGAGGTGCTAGTTTTTTTTTCCTACGCACTGCTCCTCCTTACAAAACCATGGCCAAAAATGTAACCCACGACTGCCTCTTTAAGAAATTAGGTCAGCCGCATAAAACAAGAAGAATTAGTCCACGATTTGCATCTTTGGTTCTTCAAGTTTGCAGTATTTTCTTTTTTGCCTCAAAACTTTTTTAATTTTGTATTTAAGCCCCTAATCGTGCAAAATCATCCAAAACAGTTCCAATTTCTTATTTCCAGCTCCTATCATGAAATAATAATAAAACCAATGAATTAAATCCATTCGAATCCATAAACTAATAAAATATTAACAATTAAAACACAATTTATGGACTCTATCAATTTCCACTCTTAAAATTCCAAAGGGCACTTTTCAAAGCAAATATCTAGGAATTTCTTTAGATTTTCAAGAGAAAAAAAAAAGTCATATTTAATGACTTTACTGCTAGATTGTCCAGGAAGTTTGCGGATTGGAAGACCAAATTACTAAGTTTTGCTGGAAGAGTCACCTTGGCTAAATCCACATTGTCTGCTATGTTGGTATATCCTATGGGAGTCTTCAAATTGCCGGCTTCCACCCTTAAAAAAGCTGATCGTATTATTGGTCATTTCATCTGGAGAGGTGATCAACAATCCAAGGGCATACGCTGGAGAGCGTGGAAGAAAATTACGAAGTCGCAATTTCATGGTGGTCTGGGATTAAAAGCCACGGCTGAATTTAATCAAGCCCTTCTGGCTAAATATGCTTGGATGATCCTTTCTCAACCAGAAACGCTGTTATCAAAGGTATATACAGCAAAGTATGGCATGTCTGAGTCTTTTCTAGAATCAACAGTACCAGGAATGCCACATGGAGATACAAGAGTATTCTATGGGAAGCAAGATTGTTACTTAACAATATTAAATGGAAGGTTATTTCAGGGACTAACATTCGGATTTCTGATGATTGGATTCCAAATAATCTAAACCCTAGCAGGAGAGACTCCTTCCTTGCAACACATTCAAATTTGATGGTCAAGGATCTAATTCGATCTAGTGGACAATGGAAACATTCTTTCATCAGAACCATCTTCCAGTTCATGTCATCCCAAATATCATTGGCATTTTCAATGACCCTTCTCAAGGTATGGAACATGATAAGTTGCAATGGCTTCACACAACGCATGGTGTAACAACCCACATTTCACGAGCTATTTTTTTTTTTTTTAGACAAACCTTAATTTTATTTATCATCTCATAACACTGACAATAATAACATTATGCGTGCAAAGGACTCATAAAGGAGCACAGGGAAAACAACAAAGAAAACAAGAAATACGAATTTCCCCAAAAAAAAAAGAAAAAGCAGAAACATATCTTTATTTATCTCTTCTAATAAAGTTTTAATGTCAGAGACCTAGATCTGATATCAAGTAGTTTCCAAAGGCAATCATTCAATGTCTTGTTTAATCATTTCTTTTCTTCTTTTTATTTATTTATTTATTTTTATTTTATTTTATTTTATTATTATTTTTTTTTTTTGGGAAACACAGAATTTATTAGCAATCTGCAGAAAACAAGGCAAGCTCTCTCATATATTAAATGGGACCAAACAATAATTCGAAAAGTAATAATAGCAAAACATGGAGATTTGATGTTTCAAAGCTGAATAGTTCAAACAGAAATCTTTTAGTGAATAAACTATGTTTCATATCTAGTTTTAATATTTTCACAAAGCCAAGGCAAACTGTAAGGTCCAAGCTAAATCTAGGTATACTAAGAACAGGCTTATGCAAAATCATCTAAATAAAGATTTAGATCATGTAAGATTCGAACCTCGCAAGAAAAATAAAGTTAAATTTGCATTTTTATTATTATTATTATTATTTTTAATTGGCAAAAGCAGATTCCTTTAAATCTCCATTTTTTTTTTAAGTATTTACGAAAATCTCCTACACATATAGCCATGATCAAGCTAAGTGTAGGACTGTAGAACTCTATTATTGACTTACTTACTAGATTTCCTTATTATGATAATGCAGCATCGAATTCGAAATAGATCTTACGTTAATTACCCTAAGCGAATGTTTTAATTTCACTTCGTCTAGGCATGCTTTAACTAATCATATACTTGAAAGTGGTGTACTTTCAACTAAGCGTAATTATTTTATTTAACCTTCTAGATGATGCTAGCTCCTGTGTT